CCCCCCCCCCCCCCCCCCAAGAGAAAAAGACAGTAATACAGACTTTTTGTTTCTTGATAAAATATTTTTATTTAAATATTTTTATATATGTAAAGAGGAACACTGTGGACTGTGATGTAAAGGGGAACACTGTGGACTGTGATGTAAACGGGACACTGTGGTCTGTGATGTAAAGGGGAACTGTGTTGTAAGGGGGTCTCTGGTCACCAGAGCCCCCATTACACATAAGTCCCTAGAGTTCCACTGAGTCCTCAGAGTTCTCCTTTACATGAGAATCTACACGGTCCCCCCTAACAGTGCAAGGGGGGACCTCTTCAGGCCTTGATGTTAAAGGGAACTCTTGTGTAAGGGGGATACTGTGGAATGTGATGTAAAGGGGAACTCTGATGTAAGGTGGTCTCTGGTCACCAAAGCCCCCCCCCCCTTTTCATCACAGTCAGCAGCATTCCCCTTTACATCATTCCCCTTTACATCAGGGTCTGCAAAGGTCTCCTTGCACTGTGTGTGGGGGGGGGGGGGGGGGGCTCTGGTGACCACAGCCCCCCTCACATCTCTGTGGAGGGGGTGATGCTGCATTTTTTCAGTGTAATCCACCCTCCCTCCTCCCCACCCAGCCTCTTCTGTGTGCAGGACAGCTCTGCAGGGACTCCTCCACTCTAATCACTGACAGGGACTCACTGCCTGTTCTCTCTCTGCTCCACCTAGAGATATCTTGACTGTCCCCAGCCCAGACTCCTCCACTCACTTCCCTCCCCCAGCGCTTACCGGAGAGGGGATAGCTTGGTTCACAGTGTCTGCAGCCCAACTGAGCCTGTCACACCTGCACCACCTCCAAGGCGACCACACCCCCTCCTGAGTCCTGCCCAATCACTGCAAGCTTCGATTCGCTAATAGAGCCGTTTGATCAGCTGCTGGGGGCCAGGAGCCGGAGGAGGTAGGGGGAGAGATCTGCGTGTCACGAAAAACTAAGCATGGAGAAAAAAACATTTTTTATTGTTATAGATTAGTTTAGGAGTTAGGTTAGTGTAAGGGTCAGTTATAAGGGTAGATTTTTCATTTTGGCTATAACGTGAAAGGTTTAGAACCTTTGCTAGGTTTCTACTGCTGCTGTGGGTAGCTATGTTGGGAATATTCTCTTTCACTTCCTGTCCCAGTGACTACACTGGGACTGAAACAGATGCAGTAAGTTGGAATGCATTAGCAGTTCGTTCATTTCACTTTGTGCCTGGAATTACCATTAGAAAGAATGTTCATTTTGGGAAATTCCCTGTTCACCATACTGATACTCATTGCGAATAAAATCACCAGGTTGAATTGTATAATTCTATCGTTTCTCAAGTTACCTGTTTTAAGGGCCTACGTTGTCTGGCCTACTAGTTATTACAGTTTCCATTCACACAGACCTACTGCACCATCTGCCATCTGCAAGCCCAGATGTATTATTGCTCCCATTACAGTCTGCCAAGAAGCTCCTGCATTGTCACAGTTTTCCACTGTGGCCTAAGAAAGAACCCAACGCTACAGAAGTGCATTTTGCCCACTGCTATATGCTGCCAAGTTTTACACCTCCTCCTGTGTGTGCCAAAGGGATACTATTTAAATGCAACATTACCTATGAAGGCAGCATCTTCCCTTTGTGTTCGCCCTCTGTTAAGGAACTTGTACCCTTTTGTCTCAAGGAGGATTTGAATCCTTATGTGCACCAACTAGAGCCCCATCAAGTACGCAGAAGATCAGATACTGCAGTTAAAAGGACATTAGTCTATTTAATTGAAAAGCTCTTCTTTCCTTCAGAATTGGACTCAGCCACTGACAGCCCAAAGTGAGTTAGCATCTCTGCTTGGTAGTTCTTTTTGTTACTCACTGAGGAAGAAACCGCTTAGAACTGAGGTTTTAGTTTAAATTCTGAATTGGAAGACCTCTAGAACTGATTGAGATTGTGCTATTTTGTGACCTTTACTTGAAGTTACTAGAGTGCCAACTGTTATCTGATGCACAGATTTTCCTGTTGCTTTACTGCGTTGTCAATAGATTCTTCAGATTTTTTTTCTTCATATATTCTTCAGATTTTTTAATCTGAAGAATATATTCTTCAGATTTTTTTTAACATATAAAAAAGTCATTTTTACATATATTTGTAAATGCATTCCAAAAATTTAGATTTGTAATTTTAAAAACATACAGTATATTTGAAATGTATTTTTAAAAATATGTTTCATATACTTTGTAATAAAAAGGCATTTCAACATACAGTATATATATATATATACTGTATATATATATATATATATATATATATATATACATATACATATATATATATATATATATATAAATATATTTTGAAATATATTGAATATGGCCAAAATTGTAGCATTTCAAATATATGTCAATTGATTTAGGAAGAATATTTTTAAAATATATTTCAAGTATATTTTTCTTCCATGTGGGTCATAATATAAATTCTCAGAAGACAGGAAGTCATTCCATATGAGCTGACAAGAAATAACATATTACAAAATGTCCGTTGTAAGAAACTAGTGAGGAGAGACAACAGAAGGACAGACCATAAAATGCAAAAGGAAATACATTTCTGCTATAGACAGTGTAACTGTTTTTTTGTTTTTAATGTAGTTGTTGATGAGAGAGATATATTAAAAAAAAATCATACAGAGGGGTGTCCCTTTAGGAAGGGCGCCTGTAGGCACATGCCTATTGGGAAATCTGGCCCTGGATTTATATGGTTCCTCTCTCTTGACCCCTGGATACCCTTCCATTACTTTTTTTTCATCATCTAAGAAGATCCAGGATGCTCCAGTTTTTTTTTCAGTAATAACTGCCTTTCATCTGGGTTTAACCTCTCCATTGGTAAAGGGGCAGATGTGGTGAGTACATTATGGTAGCATAAAATACTGCTTATCTAATGGGCTTTGCAGACTGGGCTTCTGTTTCAATTTCTTTGCTGTTTCCCTATTCCAACCTTTATTTCCTCCCCCCATTAGTCCACCATTTTCTTGCCGCCAGGCATCCTCTTGAGTTTGGTCCAGAAATACATAACTAATGAGGAGGTGCTTTTACTTTTTGATGCACACATTTAAAAGCATGCTGAGCATTATGGAGCTAACTGCAGTGCATTTTGGGTTTCTTTTCTCTGTTCCCTCCTCTGCTGCCTTGGGTGAGTGTTACAAGGTTTTGGGATCATTTACTTGTTTCATTGTGTTACCTCTCTGCATCTTTTTTACCTTTAGGGAATGATGATTGTTAATTTTGCTTGTGTCTATATATAATGTATGCATTGCATCTATTTTAGAATAATTTTCCTGATTTGCCTTTTTCATCACCCCTTTGGTGGGTGAATTTGAGGAGAATTTATTTCTTACACTCCTGTGTGCTTATTACTGTATCCAGCCTGCTTTCTGGCTTTCCTGATACACTGACCATAAGTCTGCCCATGCCTCAGTGACACCAACAAGAAAGAATAGCCCTTTTTGGTGTCTTATTTTCCCATGTGCTGTTTCAGTCCTCTGAGGGGGGAAGTTTAGGGGTCCTACTCTCAGAGATTCTCCACTTCATGGGGCTTCAAGTTGTTCCCAATACAATTAATACTCCTCTGCCCATAGACATCATTCTAATACATCCTATATTGGTCTACTTGGCATCACTAATCTCATGAAGAGAGAGGTTATATTGGTCATATCTGACTCCAGCAATGCAAGGGAAGAGGATCAGTGGAGCATACTTTAGCTGCTCCTCCTATTGAATAACCTCAGAATGTAAAAGATTACACAAAGGAAGCTGTTGCAGAAACCATGAAAGAATATATGATTCAGAATAAGCCTGCTGCCCCTGTGTCTTACCCTCTATCTAGACACCCGACTGTCAGCTGCAGCCAAATGTTTCCAGCCCCCTCTCACATCACCCTGGTCATTGGGCATCCTGTGTTCCAGCTCAGACTGACTGACACTATCTTCCACCAATGACTGACAGAACCCAAATTCAAAACTACTTATCCCATTCAATCTGGCCAATGGGACAATGGCATTTTGGCAGGAATTTCAATTTTCAAGGTTCCTAGCCTCCGTTCCACCTCAGACTTTTTTTATGTGCCAATTGATGAGATTTAACCCTTTCTGAGTCCTATGCTATTTTTCCTGACCAAGACCCAGACCCACCCCCCCCCCCCCCCCCCCACTTTATTTTTAAAAATGGGAAGAAGAGTTGAATATTTCCTTCACTCAAGATATTAAGAGGCAGAAAAGACACTCTTTCACATTTATTGGCCCCAAGCATACTCCTGTCTGACCCACGGTAACCCAGATTACTGACCAACTTTCAGGACTTTCCCTTCACAACAATCCCCTAGCACTTCTTTTCACTTTAATGGCATCCAGTCCTATTCCGTAGGGTTCAATATTGAGTTGGCCCACCCTTTGCAGCTATAATAGCTTCAACTGTTCTGGGAAGGCTGTCCACAAGGTTTAGGAGTGTGTGTATGAGAATGTTTGACCTTTCTTCCAGAAGTGTATTTGTGAGGCCAGGCACTGATGTCAGACGAGAAGGGCTGGCTCGCAGTCTCCCCTCTAATACAGCCCAAAGGTGTTCAGGTTGAGGTCAGGACTCTGTGCAGGCCAGTCAAGTTCCTCCACCCCAAACTTGCTCATCCATGTCTTTATGGACCTTGCTTTGTGCACTGGTGTGCAGTCATGTTGGAACAGGAATGGCCATCCTCAAACTGTTCCCACAAAGTTGGGAGCATGAAATTGTCCAAAATGTCTTGGTATGCTGATGCCTTAAGAGTTCCCTTCACTGAAACTAAGGGGCCAAGCCCAACCCTTGAAACACAAGCCCACACCATAATCCCCCCTCTACCAAACTTTACAATTGGCACAGCACAGTCAGGCAAGTACTGTTCTCCTGGGCAAACGCCAAACCCAGACCTGCCAATCAGATTTCCAGACAGAGAAGCGTGAGTCATCACTCCAGAGAACATGTCCACTGCTCTAGAGTCCAGTGGCAGCGTACTTTACACCACTGCATCCGAAGCTTTGCATTGCACTTGGTGATGTAAGGCTTGGAGGCAGCTGCTTGGTCATGGAAACCCATTCCATGAAGTTCTCACACACTGTTTTTGTGCTAATCATCTGAAGGCCACATGAAGTTCGGTGGTCTTTAACTATTGACTGTGCAGACAGTTGGTGACATCTGCGCACTGTGCACTTCAGCATACACTGACCCTGCTCTGTCATTTTTATGTGGACTACCACTTCGTGGCTGAGTTGCTGTTGTTCCCGGTTGCTTCCACTTTGTTACATTACCACTAACAGTTGACTGTGGAATATTTAGTAGCAAGGAAATTTCATTGATGGACTTATTGCACAGGTGACAACCTATCACGGTACCACGCTTGAATTCACTGAGCTCCTGGGAGTGACCCATTCTTTCACAAATGTTTGTAGAAGCAGTCTGCATGCCTAGGTGCTTGATTTTATACACCTGTGGCCATGGAGGTGATTGGAACACCTGAATCCAATGATTTGGAGGGGTAGCCCAATACTTTTGGCAACATAGTGTATATTAAACATAAACTGTGTAATATATATAATACACGTTAATATATTATACAGTTGCAAGAAAAAGTATGTGAACCCCTTGGGATTATGTGGAGTTTTTGCATGAATTGGGCATAAAATGTGCTCTGAGCGTCATCTAAGTCACAACAATAGAAGAACACAGTCTGCTGAACATAATACTACACAAACATTAGATGTTGCCATGGTTTAATTGCACATAACATGTAAACATTCACAGTGCAGGGAGGAAAAAGTATGTGAGGCCCTAGCTTAATGATTTCTCCCAGAGCTAATTGGAGCCAGGAGTGAGCCAACATTGACTCCAATCAGTGTGATGATATTGGATGTGTTGCTGACAGCTGTCCTGCCCTTAAAAAACACACACCTGTTTTGGGTTTACTGGTTTCAAGAAGCACTGTCTGATGTGAACCATGCCTCGCAGAAAAGAGCTCTCAGAAGACCTACGATCAAGAATTATTGACTTGCATGAAGTTGGAAAGGGTTACAAAAGTATCTCCAAAAGCCTTGATGTTCATGTGTCCATGGTAAGACAGACTGTCTACAAATGGAGAAAGTTTAGCACTGTTGCTACTCTCCCTAGGCGTGGTCATCCTGTAAAAATGACTGCAAGAGCACAGCGCAGAATGCTGCATGAGGTAAAGAAGAATCCCAGAGTGTCAGCTAAAGACCTACAGAAATCTCTGGCACATGCTAACATTTTTGTTGACACATCTACAATAAGGAAAACATTAAACAAGAATGGAATACATGGGAGGACACCACGGAGGAAGCCATTGCTGTCCAAAAAGAATATTGCAGCACGTTTCAAGTTTGCAAAAGAGCACCTGGATGTTCCACAGCACTACTGGCAAAATATACTGTGGACAGATGAAACCAAGATTGAGTTGTTTGGGAAGAACACACAACACTGTGTGGAGAAAAAAAGGCACAGCACACCAACATCAAAACTTCATCCCCACTGTAAAACATGGCGGAGGGAGCATCATGCTTTGGGGCTGCTTTGCTGCCTCAGGGCCTGGACGGATTGTTGTCAGTGATGGGAAAATGAATTCCAGAGTTTATCAAGACATTTTGCAGGAAAACGTAAGACCATCTGTCCGCCAACTGAAGCTCCGCAGAGGATGGGTGATGCAACAGGACAATGACTCAAAGCATACAAGTAATTCAACAAAACAATGGCTGCAACAGCACAGAATACGCCTTCTGGAGTGGCCCAGTCAGAGTCCTGACCTCAACCCGATTGAAATGCTGTGGCATGACCTTAAGAGAGCGATTCACACCAGACATCCCAAGAATATTGCTACACTGAAACAGTTTTGTGAAGAGGACTGGTCCAAAATTACTCCAGATCGTTGTGCAGGTCTGATCTGTAACTACAGGAAACGTTTGGTTGAGGTTATTGCTGCCAAAGGAGGGTCAGCCAGTTATTAAGTCCAAAGGTTCACATACTTTTTCCTCCCTGCACTGTGAATGTTTACATGTTATGTGCAATTAAACCATGGCAACATCTAATGTTTGTGTAGTATTATGTTCAGCAGACTGTGTTCTTCTATTGTTGTGACATAGATGACGTTCAGAGCACATTTTATGCCCAATTTATGCAAAACTTCACATAATCCCAAGGGGTTCACATACTTTTTCTTGCAACTGTATGCATTATATACACAAAAGTCGCAAACAATAAAATGCTTCGCAGTCATATAGCTTTGCAATGGATAAGTAGTGCCTAAAACTGAAAAAAAAAACATAAATGCAAAATGTTTTTCACACACTGTGATGACAAGAGTCACAAGGATCTCTAATAGGTCAACATTGATGCAGTTTGTGCACAGAAATGTGTGTTGTATGTGTGTACAACTGTAAATTTTAATTTAAATTTGGTGCAAAAACTGTGTAAATATGTTGCTCAAATTCTGACATTTCACTTTCTGGCATGGCCGTCACACCTGCAAGTGTAAAATCAGAAAGAAGCATGATAAGATGCTTTAGCCAGTCTTTCCATGTTTCCTGCATGACAATTTTGGTGCAAATACAATGATACATTCCCCCCTAAAGTATTCTGTCTGCTTTTATCTCACAACCTTTTCCTATTGATGTATGCTGAACAGGGGCGGACTGACAACTCATGGGGCCCCCGGGCGATAGGGGATCATGGGGCCCCTGTTTTCTTGCCCAAACTCAAAAAAGCCTATGAAAAAGGTACCAGGGGCATCTCATGGGGCCCCCTACTGACCCCGGCTCTCAGGCAGTGCCCGAGTTTCCAACTGGTCAATCCGCCCCTGATGCTGAGATTCCTAGATGAATCAACTCTGAGCAGAGGGGATGCAACCCTTCTCTGCTTCCATGTACCAGTTTCAGAAAGAGAAATCTTGAGGAGGCACCAAAGGACGTGGAAGGTCCTTATTATGTCTCATGTTAGATTAAACCTCCTGGCAAAGAAAGTATTATTAAAGGATAATGGCACTTTTGCCCCCAGCACATATAATGGTTACCTGAAATGGCAGTTCCCAGCAGTCTTTATGTACACAGCTTTGCACAGCCTCTCTTGGGAATCTTGTCAGTCCTCCACACATTTGTGTCCTGAATTTCATTGACTTCAAGAGAAAACCTGTCTGCAGCTTATCTGCCTGAGAAGATTGGAATATAGCCAGAGAGCTGTATTTCAGATAAGTATTTAATTTCAATAGGCATACTAAAGATGCATTATCCTTAAAGAACTGTGGGACTAAAAAAAAGATAGTCATATGGGCAGCACCGTGGCTAAATGGTTAGCACTTCCGCCTGGCAGCACTAGGGTTGCTGGTTCAAATCCCAACCAAGGCACCACCTGCCTGGAGTTTGCATGATCTCCCTGTGCCTACATGGGTTTCCTCCCACACTCCAAAGACATGCTGGTAGGTTAATTGGATCATGTCTAAATTGGCCCTAGTATGTGTATGAATGTAGGTTAGGGACCTTACATTGTACACCCCTTGAGGGTTAGGGACTGATGTGAATGTACAATATATATTTAAGCGCTCAGGGGCGGACTGACCATTTGGAAACTCGGGCAATGCCCAAGGGCCCGGGGTCAGTAGGGGTCCACATGAGATGCCCTTGGTACCTTTTTTCATAGGCTTTTTGAGTTTGGGCAAGGATACAGGGGCCCCATGATCCTCTATTGAGGGCCCGGGGTCAGTAGAGGTCCCCATGAGATGCCCCTGGTACCTTTTTCATAGGCTTTTTGAGTTTGGGCAAGGACACAGCAGCCCATGATCCCCTATTGCCCGGGGGCCCTAACGAGTTGTCAGTCCGCCCCTGTAAGTGCTGCATAAATGGACAGCGCTGTAAAAGTACCTGAATAAAATAAATACATTAACTGAATGAGGAAATAAGAATAATAATGAAAGGAACCCAAACATGCAACTATTAACACTTACAGTATATCCAATACACATGTAATACAATAAATTTGTGTTGTAATATAACTACTAAATATAGATATTTTTTTTTCTATCTAGTGATTCAACCACCTGCAATGGAAACCACTGAGAAGGACCACGTGGAGCCAACACATGTGTAAGATAATACAAGCCAATATCTTAACCCTTCAAAATTCTCAGTGTTCAACAGAGACCAGAGTTATTAAATGGTATTATACACTACAGAGCTGTGGAATTATGCCTTACAAAAAGTGTGACATGTCAATACCATACAGAGCCTCAGATCATCCCGTACCAGAGTTTACTCAACAATGGCTAGAGTTGCCAAATAAACATTTTTAAACTTCCTAGAGCTATCTATTTGCATGCATCATGGATCTATCAGTAGTTAAGATTGGCATTTTGCTCCTCAGCTAGCGAGGGAGTATTGTTAAGAGCAAAAATACAAACTAAATGTGGGCCTATTAAATACAGTATATCTAAAGGAAAAGTGGTGCATATTGCTCACTGGATAGTTTGGAAATGTTGTAAACAATAAAAGTAAAAACTAATTTTGGTCCTATTTTTATATTCTTAAAGGTCTAGGAAATGCATAATTAAAGTATTTCTAAAGCAAAAACTGTTTTTTTTTAATTTTGGCTAGAATAGAGGATGTAAACCCCTGTCAGTTTTTCCCTCAACTTTGTCTCATTATGTGGATTTCTGTTCACTGTGTGTCCTGTAGACTCAACAAGAAGTGAGAGGCTATCTTTGCAATTTGGGAGAAATGTATTCTTAAGATAGTTGTAAGGGGAACAAGTGTCCCATTGGAAGATTTCCCCTCTGTTTTTGTTCAGGTGGCAACTAGAAATTTTGCTTTTACACCCACTTTAGTTCCCATTGACAGTGGTGGTCAGGACAATTAGACAGTAATGCTTGGTATGTAATGGGAGTTTTTTTTTTTTATTCAACCAGCAGGTTGAAAAAAAAAACACAGATCTTTGCATTCACTAAAGTGATGTTGATTCAGGGATCTCCGCCACTGCGCTATTGTATTCTGACATGAGGAGTCCCTCTTTTGTCAGAATACACTGATCAGACCTGCAGCCATTGGTTACAGTGATTGATCAAATGCTGCTTTTCCAGCAAAACCACTCAACAGATGATGGTCTAATGATCAGCTTCTGTTGAACATATAGGGGTACACAGTTCAGTTCTTGACAAATTTCATTACATGTTTACCCAGCCTAGATCTCCCTAATGGGGACACAGATAGCATTAAAGTCTGACAGAGGATTTAACCCTTCACTGCTCTATCCAAATCTAAAAGAAATGTTTTGTCTTTAGTTTACATTAACAAATGAAGCTAGTAAATACTCAAAATACCGTAGAAGTAGCTAGGCGTTGACACTTTACTTTTTGCAGCTTACCACTATCTGACTTTATCTCTGCCAGAATAAAAGTTTCTTCTCCATAA